CTGGACCGCATTTCTATATATGCAGTCTAGAAATTGTAAAGCATCCATCTTTAAGATGGATGCAAGTAGGTGTTCCCTTTAAAAACAATGAAAAGTAACGGTCCAAATGTTTTTTTACTAGAATTATTATTTATAGTTTTTAAAATTTGTTTATTTTTTCATATTCATGTTCTCTATGTTAGAGATTACATGTCCTTAAAAATTAAGTCTTAAAATCCATCTCAAAAATAGATTTACTAAGAGGCCCGCATTCCTACATATTCGGGCTTGGCCGCATAGAAACCGGGTCCTTAATAAATAAAGGAAAAAGTGTACATAAGGATGCTACCTTATAATGTAGAACTACGGATGCCCCTCAAAAATCTAGCGGAAAAGGTAGTTTTAATGTTGAAAAACCCTTTGATTGATCATCTCGACATCGAGATGTATGACTATGAAAAATAAAAATATTTCAAGTCTTAGAAATAGTGCATTTTACAACATATTATCTACACCGTCCATTTTCAAGATTTTCATTTGCAACCTGAAACAATCCAATCCGGCGCAACTTCAAATTTTGTCCTAATATATAGTTTTTTTAAAAAACACTTCTTAGAATTATCTAAAAATCTATTTTCATGTCTAATTATAAAATTTTAAACTTCAAAAATGGTTAAAATCAGATATATAAACATATGAAAATCTTGAAAATGGACGGTATGGATAATGTGTTGCAAGAGACGCTATTTTTAGGACTCAAACTCTTCTTTTTTTCATACTCATGTTGAGATGATCAATTAGGGCGTTTTCAACATTAAAACTACTTTTTTCAATGGATTCTTTAGGTGCATCTTTATTTCTACATTTTAAGGTTGCAACCTTACATAAACTTTTTTTCGACTCTGGGGCCAGAAGCCAACCTCTTGTTTTTTCTTTTTGTTTTTTTTTTTTTTTTTGTTTTTAAGTAAATGGCTTAACAGTCAAGTCCAAAGTGTTCAAAATTTTAAGCTCTCTCTCTCCTGTTTACATATATGCACATGAATTTGGCCAAGCCTATAACTCGCTTACTCTCTCTCTAGAAGTGACTTGCGGTTGACGATCTCTCTAGGATTCTAGAGGTTATTACCAGTTGGTTTGTGTTGAATTCTGTTGAGGGCACCTCTTACACACTGATTCCTTCATCTTCTCTCGGTGTCAGCCATGGCTGCTACTCTACCTGCTTGGTTTCTCGCTCTTCTCTTTTGTTGTATTCTCTCTCGAGGTTACGATTTTAATCCTTATGAAGAATGCGCTCCTGTCAATTGCTCGGGCATCAATATACACTTCCCATTCTCTGCTGCTTCCAGTCCAGAGCTATGTGGACTCTTCAAAATTGATTGTGGAGGGTTAAGCTCCCCAACCACTATCAAATTCCTGGACAAATCGTATGATGTTAAGAACATATCCTACCCTGAGCGCACTATCAATATCACTGCTCCCTTATCTGATTTCTTTGACAATGGGAAATGTAATTATTTCCTTCACAAAATTACCCTTCCAGACCACATCGAGGGTTTCCATCTTCTTTCCTCCTATGTTAATATCAGCATCTTCTACAATTGTGATACTCACTCTTCCTTCAATAACCAAGAAACCATTTGGGCCTTTAAAGGGTGCGAGAAGAACCAGGAGATTTATTACACTGATAAACAAGAAATAGTAAATAATTTAACTCCTCCATCTGCTTGTTCTTGGATTCAGTATCCTGTGCTAGAATCCAGTCTTAAGGCTATGAAACATGTCAATAGATCCTGGACCCTTCTGGAGCTTTTAAAGGAGGGTATTGCCCTTCAATGGGAGCAATTTCCTTCAGAGTGCTCAAATTGCACTAGTTCTGGTGGCCGCTGTGCGTTGAATGCCACTGATAGAAGGACGACTGCTTGTTACTGCAAGGATGGGGAAGCTTGTGACAGCGGTATTCTTCTATGGTTGATTTCATTCTTATCCATGTTCGGTTTCTTCCACAGTTCTTTTATAATTTTTTTAAAGAAATTTGTCGTGACATATATAGTTCTTTGGTTACTTAGCTCTTATATTGCTCTTGGTTTTTGTGAAATTGATCATATACTGGATTTTTTATCAGCATCATTATTGGTGAACTTTATCAAACCAAACCTAAAAATCCTAATTTCAATAATTCATTCTTATAAATAAAATTAACAAAAATAAAATTAAAATTATTAGCCACTAGATTTTGATCTGCATTAATTTTTGTTGATATTTTTTATCAATTACTTGTGGCATTCATGATTCGTGAGTAGCTTACCTCATTGCTTTTGTGAGACCATATAATTGTTTTTGGATTGGCAGGATGTTTCTTTGGTTAACCGTTAACCACATAAAAAATGCTGGTTTTACGTGTCCTGATTAGTTTGAATGGGAAAGGGGATCAAGTTATTTTGCATTCTCGAAAGAGGTTTTGTGCAGGTCACCAGGTCCAAGTAAATTCTGGGTTCAGGTCCGGATCCAGGTATTTTGGATTCGACTGGGTCCAGTTCTGGGATCAAGGTATTCTAGGCTCGACCGGGTCCAGTTCCGGGTCTGGGTCCCATGTATGAATTTCAGTCTAGGTTCAGCCGTACTAGGACCCTACCGGACCCGTTCCCACCCCAATAATAGTGGTGGGTATTGTTGCCTATATTTTTGAAAGAAAAATATTCACACTTTATAAGACAATTAAAACCGTGGAGAAGAAACCCAACCTGGTCAAATTATTCCGGCTCCGATTCTACATAAACAACTTACTTTTTTATCTCTATCAATTCAAACCTGCTTCATCACTCGCCAATTTGAAATGAATTGTGCCTATAAAAGTAAACGCCCATTAATTAAATAATGAGGAAGAGATCTTCAAGTTTCACCCATCGAGCTTTCTCTCTGCTTTTTTCTCCTCTTGCAACCATGCTTGGCTGTCTCTCCCTATACACCCACTTGATGCTTGGGTTTCTCTCTCTAAACACCCACTTGTTTCATTCAAGACCGCTTGTTGCTCTACTTGTTTTCCTTCCTCTCTTTTGGGTTCCTGTTTTCTCTGCGGATTCCCAGTATGAAGCCTGTGGTGCTTACGATTGTGGTGCCATTCGTGTCAGCTACCCTTTCACAGTCGATTACCGGCGGCCAGAATTCTGCACTAACATGGGCCTCAATCTCACCTGCATCGACAACACCCCCCTCCTAAACTTGACCAATCAATTATACCAAGTGAGATATATCGATTACCAGACTAGCACCATTTTCGTAGTTGCTCAAAGCATAATTGACAGTATGGAATGCCCCTATCCTAAACATAATGTCACCCTTGACAATTATCCATTCAATTACTCCACTGGAGTCATGACGCTTCTGGCTTATATGGATTGTCCTGCATCACTTCGTAGCTGGCCAACTGCGATTCAGGTGCCTTGCCTCGGAAATTCTTTTGCCATGTTTTATGGCTTATCCATTGATTATCCACGTTGTCGGTTTTTGGTGGAGGTTCCAGTTTTAGAGAGGTTTGCTTTGAGACATTCTTCCGATTCTTTGTGGAGGCGGGTTTCAGTGTGTCATGGACTGCAGATGGGTGCGCACCATGCATGGAGTCGGGTGGCCGGTGCGGATATAATCAGAGCCCGCCAGGATTCATGTGTTTCTGTGAGGACCGGCCTTATCCTGACGCATGTCCTCCACTTGATACCAGTAAGCCCATCCCTAACCCATTCTCTTCATTGCTTGAGCTGAGAAATAGGAAGCATTAGATAAAGCTCTTCCCCATAATGCTTTTACAATAACCGAAAGTAAAACCTTTCAGTAATTTAGAATTTCATCTCTGTTTTGGAAAATAAACAATAAGAGGATTCAGTAACATTCCCAACATACCCAAACTTGTCTGAAATTGCGCTGTTTTTTTGTAGTTTGTGCCCTGAAAATATTTTATTAAAAGCTCCGAGTGATTGTAGACAAAAAGACCCGTTATGGGCTTTTCTTGAGTTTTCAATTTCGATTACTTTAAAATTGTTAAAAGAATATGGTCAATTTGGTTACTATTATGTTAAAAATATACATGAAGTGGGTTTGGGTCCTTCGCTTCGATGATAGATGAGGGAGGGGGTTAACAAAGACTCGAATGATAAATTTTGGAGAGGGAAAATTAATGCAGTTAACAAAAATTATTTTAAGAAAAAAGTTTTTATCAAGCTCGTAATTTTACTTGTAAACGTAAAGTTGCAGTAACCTAAACCGTCGATTTTATTTAAAAGCAAAGTTGAGGCCTGTTTCCAAGGCCACCATCGAGGAGGTACAGAGTCTCAAAAAATGAGTTATGTGACGAACTGCGGCAATAACTTTCACAGAGGATCCAAGTATAATACTGAAACAAAGCACATATGCATTAAGCATGATTGAGCATAATCATAACACATATTCCCACTACCTGAATGGCAGATACTTTGACTATGTCGAGAGATTGAGAGATTTGTAATATAATCATATCAAGGTATGGGTTTTAGGAGTCCTTGATTCTATTCATGGTCATACTTATTGTTTATAGAATGAGTGTAGCAGATATGAGGATGTTTAAATGGATGAGTAGTAAGACAAGAAGAAAAGAATTCGAAATGAATGTTGTGTTTATACGTCCTTTAAAAGCCTTATGAGAGTTTGTATGAGCATTTTATATAGTGAAACATAAGCTCAGTGGGAATGTGGTACTCTTGTGGATCATATTGGGCAAATGTGATTTGTCAATACTTTTGACTAGGCTCGACGTGCTAGGCCAGCCGAGTTTGGAAAAACCCAAGATACCTGGGCATAGAGATCTATTGAGAAAGTTTTTGTATGTTAGCCTTTGATGATGTCGGAGTATGCCCAGATGAGAGCTGAGGGACTGTATGGCCCTTCCGTGTGATAAACAACTTTTAGAAGCATAACTAAAAACCTCATCTTTATATCATCTCACGACATGTACATAGATAACCATATTGAGACTCACCAATGAGGGTGAAACGTGTACATGTGCGAAAGATTACCCCTATTCACCATAGAGTCATGGTTGCATCATGGTCTGAAGGACTATAATTTTTTGGTCTCTAGGGGAGAACCTGAAATCCATGTAATGGGATTGCGTCCCTTAGTCTATCGGCTGATTTTGGTAGTCCAATCATGAGCCCCTGCAGTGGACTGTGAGTCATGGAAACTGTTAGGTTAGTTTGAGAAAACTAGGTGGATCGTGATCCGCAGTTGAAGGTGGAGTGTTCCTGTATATTGATAAATTCCTAGATCTAACGGATCCCATTCCCATCAAAATTAATTAGCTTTAATTAATTTTATGATATATGATTTTTAGAATGTTTATTTGAATTTTTGTGAATCTTCTGATATTTTATTTTTGTCATTTGGATTTATAAGTTAAGGAAAATTAATTTTTCAATATTTTAAATAAAATATAAGATTTAAAAATTTCAAATACAAAATAAAATATTTTCTAAAAATATATGAGACCTCCATAAATATGGGGGCTCAATTTTGAACATGTGGGATTGGGTGGGCCAACGTATGGTCACCAAAGGGTGGCACGCCCCACCCATGTGACTAACGTCTTCACCAAGATTGGGTGATAGTTGTCCCCTTGTTTGTTGGCTTTTTCTTTTGGTTATAGCTAACTTATGTGATAAGATTAAATATTTGAAATATTTAGTAAATCTTTGAATCAAGATTGCTTGATCTAATAAATAAGAATTAGATATTTTAAAATAGAAACTTTCCTTATTTGAAAGCTTTGATGGGAATGGAACTAGGAAAGGGAGGATGAGGCTCTAGCACACCCCTTTGAATCTTGATGGTGGATCAAAGGGATGAATCACTCACATCTCTCACCTTACAAGTCTCCCTAGATCTACAGTCAAGATTTGACCATACAAATTGATGCAAACCCTAAGACATAGAAAATCTATAAAAAGATGCTCTCCCACTTTATAAAATCTCTACACCTATTATCTCTTCTCTCTTTATCTCTCTCTAAAAAATTTTAATTTATATACACCGTGTTTGATTGCATAATCCAACTTTCAATGAATACATTTGGGAGAATTTAGGCGTGACACCAATAAGCAATTAGATGAAAGAAAGTAGACTTACATGTGCTAGCCATGGATAGCGCAGACCCAATACAACACCTGTTAGGAGGTGCGAGCTAGTTCAAGTGGAATGCTTAAGAAAGATAAAGGATAGGCCCGAAAGGACATAGTTGCAAATAGAAAAGATATGAAGACTTTTGGCCGCATTGAGACTATGACCCATATTAAAGAATAATGACGGACCAAAATTTGTGTAGCAGATGCTAATTACATAGAGAAATGCTTTGATGACGACTCATTCTATCTGTGGATGTTATATGGATCTTTTTCCATTTATACGATTGTTTTATCTTGTTATGTATTGCTCATGCACAAAGGGTTTGGACATACATTTCACATGCACAAGGACACATGATATTTTTTGTTTAAATCATCAGAAAGTGAGGTTCAACACTCACATAGCATTAATCACCTCAATTCGAGACATAGGCAGATGAAACATACGTGTGATTTGTAATTATGACATCGATGAAAGGTTGAGGCTCTATGTCAGGAACCAACATGTTTCATGTAACATACGTCTTAATAAAAAATTGTATACGAAAGCCAAATTTGAGCTATGTGGTTCATATTTCTTCAAAGTGGCAACCAGGTGGTACAGGGCCCCTAAGCTCTGTGGTTCATATTTGTCTAGAGTAAGTTGATCCAAATATTTTGAACCACATGTTGGCTGCTTTATTTTATTTTATTTTCTCTTCAAGGGCTCCATATATTCATTTGATCTTAGTTTGTTTAAGAAACCCTTTTTCCTTATTACTATGTAATTAGATCTTTTTTGTTTTTTAAGAAACCTTTTTTCCTTACT